GTCGGAGGTTTTCACAATAGAGAAAGGTACTAGACAGGGGTGTCCTTTATCGCCATTGTTGTTTGTTTTAACATTGGAAATATTATTGATTAAAATTCGAGAGTCTCAGGAAATTAAAGGAATATATGTTAATAAAAAAGAATATAAGTTGAGAGCTTTTGCGGATGACTTGGTTGTTACTTTGTCGCAACCTGATTATTCTGTAGTAAACTTATTACAGTTGATTCACCATTATGGTTTGGTCTCGGGTTTTAAGATTAATGTAAATAAGACTAAAATTTTACCTAAAAATTTGTCGAGTCAGGAGAAGCAGATTTTGGTTAACTCGACGGGTTTTGAGATTGTTAATAAGGTAAAATATTTGGGGGTGATGCTGTCTGTTTCTAATGCAAAACTATTTAAAAATAATTATGAAAGGTTGTGGGTCGGGGTACAGAAAGACTTGAAGAATTGGGAAAAGCTGCAATTATCCCTCATGGGAAGAATTGCAGTGATAAAAATGAATATTCTACCCAAGTTTCTTTTTTTGTTTCAAATGTTACCAATTTTGAAAAATGAGATTAATTTAAATGAGTGGCAGAAGGGTCTCAATAAATTTATTTGGGCAGGGAAAAAACCAAGGGTTAAGTTCAAAATTATGCAAGACTTCCGTGAGAGGGGTGGACTCAAGGTACCAAATTTGAAATTATATTATGATGCGGTGGTTTTAACATTAATTAGTGACTGGGTAAATTTGACAAATTCTGAGATACTTTATCTAGAGGGATGGGATTTACTTTATGGGTGGCATGCCTATTTAATATTTAATAAAAAAATAGATTGGGCTTTTAAATCTCATATTTTAAGAATTTCTTTACTTAGGATTTGGAGAAAATATTATAAAAGTGATTTTAAAGTACCATTATGGGCTATACCTTGGCATGCGATAGAAGGAATAAAAAGAGGGGTTAAAATGGATATGGTGTCTTACAGACAGTTACTTAAATGGGATGGACAAAACTGGCAATTAAAATCACGGGAAGAATTAGCACAAGAAAATTTTACTTATTCTTGGTTCCAATATAGGCAACTACTAGATAGATGGAAGATGGATTGTAAGGTGGGTTTTCTTAGAGAAGATGAAAATCTTATTAAGCAACTTAAGGATCAAAGACAAACCCACATTAAGAGAATTTATGGGGTTTTAGTTGAATTGGACTCAGAAACGGAACTAATTAAAGATTGTATGATTAGATGGGCGCAGAACTTTGGTGAGCCAGTTTCATTGGACACCTGGGAAACTATTTGGGTGAGAAATGTCAAATTTACTCAAGCACAGAATCTAAGGGAGAATTTTTATAAAATGTTTTATAGATGGCACCTTGATCCACAAAAAATGTCTTACATGTACCCTGACGTGCAACCTAAATGTTGGAGATGTGGTTATAAGGAGGCTTCCTATTATCATATTTGGTGGTCATGTAGAGAGATAAAAGCATTTTGGATCAAAATATGGTGGAATATCCAGAGAATTTTTAGAAGGAGGGTAAAATTTACTCCGCAATTATTTTTGTTAGGTATTGTTACAGATTGTGATACAAAGGAGGTTGTATTGATGTTAAACTTGATTACAGCCGCGAGGCTGTTAGTTGGACAATATTGGAAGAAGGAATCTTTGCCTACATTGCAGGAATGGTTTTTTAAAGTAGCTTATCTGGCAGAAATGGCAAAGATTTCGGCTTTCTTAAAGCAACAAACGCAAGAGAAGTTTTTTGCTATCTGGGACAAATGGATAAAATTTATACAATTTAGATTGGGTATACAAAAATATTATATAGTTTTTTCATAAGTTTTATTTTTATATATATTATAGATATCTTTTTTATATATATAAATATAAAGTTTTTAATTTAATTTTTATTTTTATTTTTTATTTTTTTTTTTTTTAATTATTTCTTAAGCCTATATTCTGCTCTGGGAAGCTCAGGGGGGGGGAAGGGAGGGTTTTTGGGAGGGGTGTGGGGTGGGGGGTTTTTTTTATATGTATTGTTTAATTTTTTTTTTCTTTTTTTGTATATGTTGTTTTTTGTTTTGTATTGTTTTTGTTTTTTTTGTAAAATTTATAAAACTTTTAATAAAAAAAAAAAAAAAAAAAAAAAAAGAAGACACTGCCAGCAAAAGAAATCTCATTCTATTTTCCTTTTGGAATCAAAGTATCTGAAAAAGTAATCCTCTCCATTTCCCCATGACCAGCCTTCCTTAGCAGCAGTTAAAGCTTAAAAAATTAGAACTGAAAAATTACGGAGAATTAAAAATTACAGAGAATAAAAAAAAAATAAACATTACAAAATCTGGATAGGTGGTTTTAACCATGTAAGGTGTACAGAAGAAAATTATGAAATGACCTATTTTGAATAGGAATTATGGAGGGATTGTACAGTGAGTGGCACTGCATAATGATTTAACCATGCAAGGCATCTGTCATGAGGAAAATCATTTTCAACTCTCTAAAGATTGCTTATTCACCCCAAAGATGAATGTCTATATGATGCTTAATTAACCTCTACTGAAGAGGAATTCCAGAGGACTGAAGAGGAATATTTCAAAGGAAGTTTTTATGAATAGTTGTTTCAGGTTATTTCTAGACAGGTAGAGAAATCATAAACGGATTAAGCAGTACTATCAGCTTGATCTGAAATGGCCAGAGTTAGTATCTAATAATAGTAAGTATTTCACCATACTTTAAGAGTTTGATCTCTAATTCATAGCCAGAGGCCTCTGAACATAAATTTGCCAATATTAAATAAAAGCCTACGATAAAATATCAGAAGTATATTTTAACCATGTTTATAAAAAAACTTCAAAGAAACTTTATTTATCATATTTATATGGCTGTCCATCTCATCAAATAGTGACTCTGGGTTGTGCACAATAAAACTATAAACACTTAATATATAAAAACAATTATTGTTTAAAAAATTAAGAATCACAAAGGCTAAGAGGACAACAGACATTAACAATGGAGCCACCTCAATACCTTGCTAAAAAATAATGCTACCCAAATGTGGTTCATCAAATTATTGATCATAATTACATTAAATGATTTTTGTTTTTAATCATCTCATAGTAATACTGTAAGACTTCAGAAATAGAGAGGCATATAAGTTGTGGAGCCAGTATATTTCTAGATTTTCTAGCAAGACAACTGATCGTTATTTAGATCAGGAGAGAGAAAAAACATTTGGGCTCACTTTGGGCCTTCTTAACAAATGGGGGACAAGAAGAGAAAATAGATAGGACTGGCATTTTCTACTAACTGGGATGATGATCAGGCTTAAGTCTGCACAGGTATCAGGAAGAAGCGTGAGTCACCAGACAGCTGAATGTTAAAAAGAAACATGTCCCTGACAGCAAGAGCAACTGGATAGTGCTAATTATTCTCCAGCATGATGGATGAAGAATCCATCAATGGGTTATTTCAGTCCTCCTGCCCAATCAGACTAAGTTATCAAAGCTGTCACGCCCGTCCTGGCCTGGTACCTCCCAGTTTCAACTTAGTCTGTTCGCCCAGAAGGACGTGACAATTTTGACTTCCAAATTCTTTCCTCAGGCAGGTTTGACTTAAATAAGAAATTTTTCTTTTTTCTTTTTAGCCCATTAGTGCAGTGGTTCTCAACCTTTCTAATGCCGTGACCCCATAATACAGTTCCCCATGTTGTGGTGACCCCCAAGTGGGTGTGGCCACCAATAAGAGGGAGTAGGACAGCTAGGGAAAAGGAAACAAAATGGTGGACAGCATGGTTTGGCGACCCCCATGAAATGGTCGTTCGACCCCAAATGGGGTCCCGACCCACAGGTTGAGAACCACTGCATTAGTGGATTCTCCTCAGTAGGAATGTCAGAGGCTATGCAGCCTCTGTTTCATTCCTGCTGATTAGAAGCCTTGGGTTGCTGTCACCTTCAGCCTCCCTCCCCCCCTCTCTCTTTCTCTCTCTCTCTCTCTCTCTCTCTCTCTCTCTCACTATCAGCCCCTAGTTTGAGTTGTGGCCGTTATTAGAGCTGCCAACCCTCAATTCTATCCGAAGGAGTTTCCCCGTTTGGAACCCAGCTACAGCTGGGGGAATTAGACTCAGCTAGACTTTTAGCTCTCATTACTGCCATCTAAGCCACACTCACTAACAAGCTCCCTTTGCCTCTGCCGGCTGCCTTTCGGCATCGGAACCTCTGCTACAATTATTATTACACTTTATTATTGATTGTACAATATAACCAATTCAAACAGACACTGGGTGAAGTATAGTAAAGTCAAAACAGGAACAGGACATTAAAGAATTAATTAGGGCATTTAAAAATCAAGCCAAGGATTACCCCACGGGGAAAGGATCCAATAAAACATATCACAACTGCTATGAATGGGATCATATTTTCCTTACTTCTATGTATAGAAAAGTGAGAGGAGTTTTGCTAACCAAAGCCATTTGGTTTATATGCTGTCAACGTTTTACAGTTTCTTTCAATTCCAGATCAGCAGCTGATATTGTCTTCAAGGGAAGACACGCAGTGGAAATTGGAGAGAGGAAAATGCAGGAAAATGCTAGAGTACAAGATGGAAGAATGTGGTCTGAAAGTAGCATTCGATCTGCATTTGCAGAGCTTCCCAGCTTGTGCTCAGTGAAAAATATTGGCCCTTATTTGCATTTTTTCACTTGCTCTTGGCTCCACTCATTTTTGGAGTATGATATGACTGATATGTTGCATAAAGATTAGGTATGGAACTCAGGCTGGCAGAATTTGTGCAAAAGAAAACCTTCAAAAAACTTTAAAAATTGTTTGTATCAAAATCAACTTCAAACTTTTCTGACAGATCATTTAATATTGCGTCCCTGTTTATTTCCTACTCAAAGTATCAGGGCAAACTCTGTTTGGATTTCTATTTCTTTCAAGCCAACATCAGAGAAAAAAAACAAAAACCATAACTTAAAAGTTTCCATAGTTCAGAATGGCAATCCACAAAGACTTACAGTGACTGAAGATTAGGAAGATCCCATAGAGCCTCCGCTGGAATCCGAGTGAGCTGATTATTCTGTAACATCCTATAATTACAGAAATAGAAAGGATAACTTTTAAACATATACCTTTTAAAGTTATAGGGATAACTTCCATGTAATGAAATATACCCATTTCTTTTTCTAAGCAAGATTTCAGACAACAGACACTATCTGAGGAACAAACTTCCCACTAATCAGCAGAAGATTGCAGAATATGTGGAATAAAAGGCCAGGTTATTGGGTTTACACAAATTGATAGGATAAGTGCTGTAAGTCCAGGCCTAATGTCTTTACAGTTTTACAATCCAGCACCATTTGGTTCATGCATTTATTTTAGCTTTCTACAATTTACCAAATGCAGCTTTTATTGTTGTTATTTAGTGATTTCTTCCATCATTGGACATGGATTTTAAAGAAAACTCCTTAGTCCCAACTCCCAAAGAGTTTATTTACAGTCTAAAATTTAGCATGAAGGAAATGACAAGAAGAAAGTTAAGGCAAGGGTAAAGTGGATATCTCTACCTAACACTGCTTTGGGATAGTTATAGACCATGTAGTAAGTTACAAAGAGGTGTAGGAGATTGAAACAGCAGTTCCAAGTGAAAAGTGGGTCTTGAGGAAAGATTTCAAGGAACTAAAGTGATAAAGACAAACTGATGTTGGGAAAGAAGTTATATATTTATTTTGTGGATAGGTGGTAATATGGTGGCTAGAAAATTGTATTTTGCTACAATTTTTGATTTTGAGTGTTTTTTGTGTGTACCTTTCACTGAGCTTTTTTTTTATTGCATAAACTGTGACAGATCGTTTAAACGGGAGTCATCTGCTCCATAGATGCATGGAGGAAATATGAGAAATGGACAAAGCGAAGGAATGGAATTCCACATATTCTGTATTCACTTAAGCCAATAAATTTTGAAAGCTTATAGAACTTGGGCTACTATAATGAAGGCTTAGTTTAGTAACTAAAGAACAAAGGATGAAGCTACAGCTTCCCACTTTCTCCTGTTTTCCTTGTTGCATCATTAGAGTACAATGGCTGAGCATCTGATGAACCATCAGAGGTAATTGACAAATGTAGATAAAAGGGGAAAGAAGCTACGTTGTGGGAGGCCATGTAGCTTGTTTGTGTCTATGGAACAATGATTTTAATCAAAGGTTTTCATGGACACTGTGTCATTTCTACTGGGAGTGACCTACCAGCCACACAGTTTTTAGTAAACATTTCCAGCTAATGATAGACATTTGCATTTACTCAAATAAACAACAGAAGCACAACGTGGACCATGCTCATCTCTTGGCTGTATCATTTTATTTCTTTGATACAAAAATCAAAAGGGGACAAAATGGTGGTTTGGAACAATACAGTAACCCTCTTGGTTAAAGATCACATTTGTTTTGAATGGGGACAGAGCCTTTCTTGTAAGTCTCACATGGAAAACATAAGCTCTTGCCTGCTCAATCATCTTGCAATAAATACTTCTAGTAACCGCTAGTGCAGTTAAGTATCTGATTTGTGAGTGAACCTGAGAAAAATGGAAATATGGCAAGTTCTTCTGACTGTTTCTAAATCTGAAAAAAAAAAATACAGCTCATTTCAACCCAAGCAGAGTTCCATGAAGTTCACACCTACTTGGAGCAAGGATTTGCTAATACCATTTTGAAGGTAACAGCCTTTGATTTCTCTGTATTTCCATTATAAATGTCCAGCCAGCAACCCCCTTACTTGGTATACAGCTCTGGCTGCAGCAATGGAAATGAAAAAGAAAAAGCAGATTGTTTTTACCCTCACCTTCTTTTTGACAACAGACATACTGATATGGCAGCATGCCAATCTACGAAAACATCGAGACATTTCCCTTTGCAGGAGCATCATATGAGGAATAGAAGCTGGGAGGGAGAATGGAGGCTTCTTTTACCCCCACCCCCACCCCACCTCCACTCTATTATTGGACAGAGAGAAGTTTATGCTAATATGAATGGCAAGAACTAGACAGTAACTTTTGGATTCATCATACTTGCATCATGCTTTCAGTAATTATTGTATGTTACTAAATTTGCATTTCCATGTTAGGAAACAGACATTTCAGCAGCAACTCCATTGACAATAACAAGAAGCCCACATCCTGGTGGGATGAAAAAATTACTATGTGGTATGGTAGCCCAACTGGATCTCATTAACCTTACATGAGGAGATCATTGCTTCACAAAAAAGTACTGTGAGCTGCAGGTGATGAGCATTATAAATGCCACTAATTAATATAATGAAACCACATTCTATTACAGTGAAACACAGCCTTCACTTGATCTGCCCTATTATCATAGCAAATTTTTGAAAGCAGAAGCAGGATGATCTTTTTAGTTGCCATTGGCTTTATTAATCCAATGTCAGCGAGAGGCAGGACAGCTTTTATATCAGGCAATTGAATACTGGAGAATTAGAATTGTAATTCTGAGATCAAAAGTATCTTTTGCTACGTCAAGCCATAATAACTTGAAAATGAAAGTATAGGATAGTATATCTTCTTTCCTTTGGTTGCAAGCCTTTCCATGATAGGTCAAGGTGCTCTCGCTGGACTTTTATTAGATTTTTTGAAAATGGAGGTTCTTGTATTGGAATGCGGTGTGAGCAAACAATTATTATATTTTCTGGATCAGAACATTTTTTTAAAATTTTTTACCAGGATTGTAGTTGGGCAGACTACTGATTGTTCTTAGCATTGGGATCTCAGCAGAAATTATGATGGCCATGTATCACACTTGAAATACTTTTGAGGGTTTGGGAAATGGAAATGTTGGCACAATGGAAGCATCGTTCAAAACTTTGTTTTGGATTAGGAGACTCCATAATAAAGATTTTTTTAAATTCCTAATCCAGGAGAACCTGAAGATCTGTTAGATATAGTGGTATCTAACACTCACCCCAGACAAAGACAAAATATGATTTCCTTACAGGTTTGCAATATGAGTGTGATATTAGCTCCAGTGCTATTATGAAATGATTGAGTGATTTTGGTAGTAAGGAGCATGTTTTGTCAACTGAAGCTGCTAATCCAAGTCTCATTCTATCTGGATGTGCAAAACTCCAGCCATGGGCTAATTAACTCCCATTTGGATTAGTCTAACATGTACATGGGACTACCTCTGAAAACACTGTAGAATTTTCTGTTAGTAATTGGTTTCAGGAATAATGAATTCTCCCTTAACGATCCAGAGCATGGCTAAATGAGACAGGACCTGTCTACTGAGCCTTTCCGCCTTCTGTTGGAGAGTATTTTCCTTTGTGAGGCACATCCAGTACTGTACTCACTTGCAGCTTTTCGGTGCTCCTGGGCTGATATTACTGACATATGATTACAGAGACTAATTATATCATTGTTTTAGCTTACTTTTGCTTATTTGTTAATTTTAATAGAACTGCGCTACATTTATTTTACATTGTTAATGTTGACGCACTTCTACACAGTCACCATCCTTGACTCTGAAGCAGCTTGACAGTGTCAGGTAAGTTTCCCAGTGCTGTTGGCTACACATGTTTGCCTCAGTTAATGTGAAGGCAAAATATCAGCACCTATTGGTATCACTCTTGTTCTTCACTTCCTATGATTTGGGGAGGACAAAGTTTTTTTTTTTTTAAAAAAAAGTCATCCATAAGTTAAGTTCCTTTTCTCAGGGTTGCTGTATATAATGAAAAGACTACACCTCTGTTCCAACAAGATAAACAATGAATAAAATGTATGTGAATTTGGATTTTATACAATCTATTTCAGATGGCACATAATATACAATGAACCTTGGAGAATGTTGGAGTCTGCTGCTCTTGCTTTTAGTACTCCCCTATGGATTAAGATATTGTTCCCAAGTCATATGTACGTCGACTCTGTTCAGAAGGGCTGATAAACATTCAGAAATTAGAGACTGCCAGTCAAACCATGATTCGCATTTATGCTAATTGCTCTCCATTAGAATAGGGTTAAATCGATCAGAATGAATGGATTGCTTATATTTATCTTCTTCAATTATTAACACAGACCATTGTGTTTAGGTATTGTATGTTTCATATTTTTACTTGTGGCAACAAGGGCTTCAGTGGGGCTCTGAGTCCTGCTTTGTATATATGTGAGCTTATACATACATTTGCACTGTAATAAATGCAGTGCAGAACTCTGAGGCTGTTCCCCTTCTTTTGTGACTTTATTCACTCTCTTCAGTTTTAATGATTGAAGAAGATGAAAGGGAAAGAAGTATAGATCAAGGGCTGCTCATCTGCCACTCCAGGGAAGGATTTCAAGAGACAACATTGATTCATGTGCTTCTCTATGCCTTCTGGGGAAAGCTATTCATTTAGTCATAGGAATGTTTTCCCACACAGTCAGCCCTCACATCTGAAGCAGCCTCTAGTCTCCTGCCTAATTGACCGACACTTTCTGAATCCAATCTTGATGGCTCCATGCATGTTTTCTGCAATAAAAACATTCTCTTGGCATGACCAGAACTTTTCTAACTTGCCATACTTCAACTCAGCCTTCTGCTACCAGACTTCTCCTTTGCACTGCTTCTCTGAAGTTAGAGGGAAGGAATGACACTCTCCCACCCGATTGCAATAATGCTCACTATGAGATGGATTTTATATATACCATTGCTGAACACTTAAGAAGGTGAGCTCACAATTCTTGTTATTTTCCTTTGGCTGAACTCACACTCCTATTGTAGGTTCTTCAAATTGGCATGTTCACAGGTCAATTTGAAACAGAAATAAATTGCACTGAACATTTGGTTTCTTCATCAAATTGGCCTAGAGCTGTGGTGGCGAACCTATGGCACGGGTGCCAGAGGCGGCACTCAGAGCCCTCTCTGTGGGCACGTGCACTGTCGCCCCAGTCCTAGGCCTTCAGCTGGGTTTTATAAAACCTTTTCGCTTTAGGCCTCCACCGCCACGTACAAAAAAAAAAAAGTTTCAATCAGTCAATTTCAACTTCTTGTGGGAAAAAAAAGATCTTGCAAAGTTGGAATTGATTGATTGAACTTTTTAGTCCCACCCAGTCTTGCCATTACCACCACAGCCACACCCACCCAATGGCCACACCCACCCAATGGGCCATACTCACCCAATGGTCACACCCACCCGGCACCCGACGATGCATAAGTGGGTTTGGGGTTGCAGTTTGGGCACTCGGTCTCTAAAAGGTTCGCCATCACTGGCCTAGAGGCCAAAACTGTGTTGTTGACATGACACCATGTAAATAGAATTTATTTATTTTTAAAAATTCTATGCTGCCCATACCCGTTGAGATTCAAAATGACTATATTAAGAAGGCAATTTAAAAATTAAAATTGAAATAAAGCAGGCAGCATGAAAAATTGTAAAGTAAATCAAGGCCCTGGAAACAAACATACATTTTAAATTTTAAGGAAGAGAGGTCCAGCCTCAATTTCAGCCAGGACTCATTTCTTAATGCAGCCATTGGCATGGAAAAAGAGAACTATGTGGTGCAATCAGCAAAAGTGCTCACTTGAAAATCTGAACATACACGACAGAATATCCATAAGTAGGCCAAGAGATGCATTATACATCAGTGGTAAAGCAAACATGTTAAGATATTTCCCATGAATTAAACTTTGCATTCACCTGTTCATTCCAAATTCTCAATCTGATCAAGTGAATTGGAGCTAATATTATCATCTATTAGCACTCTTATAATTACTAAGTGAGACAAAGAAATACTGGCCATCATGATGCATTGGATATTGGGATGTTGAAACAATTGGATCATTTTAAACTGGTGCTAAACATTCTGAAATAGTTTGATGAGAATTTTATGCTACAAAGACTTGACATTGATTAATCTATTTCAGAGCCCCTTAAAATCTCGTGATAGAATCAGGAGACAAATTTTGTCATAAAGAAAACAAATAATAAATATCAAAATCTATTTCAAGTCCTAGAATAAATTATCTGACTAAACATTCTTTGAAGTTATGAGGTTTAACCCAAAGGGGTGTGGTGGTGTGTGTATTTATGTATGATTTTATATTTTTAAAAAAATATGACTTATGCCTCTTGCATTTACTAATATAAATATAGTACAGTTTTCAGCTTTGTTACAGGAATAAATGAATTATGCCAAATAAATACTTTTAAACATAGGCAATGTGTCTTTCCTTCAACATTAAATAACAGAGATCAGAAAATAAGGGAGTGGGCTTTCAGAGGAGATACTATGGCTGACTCTTAGGCAAGATTGCATCCTGACTAAAGTAAAGATTGCATCCTAATTAAATAAAACCTTTTAGAGCTGAGCTCTAGCATTATAAGAGATTTTCTGTATTTGAGCCCTTGTGATCCTTCTTTGTACTGCACTGCGGATGACTGGTGTGGCAGGTGAGAGTAGGACACCAAAACTCAGGACAACCCTATAAAAAGAATTCTCTCGGAACTTATGGCATGCTGGAATTGGGTGCTTAATCTGCATTCCTTGCCTGAAAGCAAATGTTTTCCCAAAATTTTTTTTAATTGGTGGGTATTTTTCCAAGTCTCATCCCAACAAATCCCCTGAGAGCTTTGACTCTGTGCCCTACAGCCTCCTCCAGTTGCTATTGTGTCACTCCAGGAAAGAATGAATTGAGAGTAGATGGGTGCATGGGTCCTTGTAGAAACTGGGAAATGTTGTACAATCTAGGAATTGTACAACACCCACTTGCCTGGTAACAAACTGACTCACAGAGCACCAGTGGGGCATTACAGGAAAGCCTCTCACAAGATTCATAGCAGGAATCAGAGACACTAAATTAACACACATGGCTGCAAGCATAACATACGCCTTCAACAAGGCCAGTCTCACTATGAAGCAATATATAAGAACTTTGCTTCAGGCAGCTTGTTCAAAGGGGGCACTAATTTCTCAGTTTCCATTTCATTGCAGAAACATGTCCCAGTCTTCTAGAACACGGCATCATTTTTTATTACTGTTTTCATTTTGTGCTTCAAGTGGAAAAAATGTTCCAAGATTCCTACCATGGCAAACAGCAAAGGTTCATTTTTTTAAAAAAGTGGAAGACATCCTGTTAAGGACTAAGTTTCATTGGGCATGTATTGTTTTAAAATATAGCTTAATTATTTACTATAGATTTAATTCATTTAGTAACCGGTGGGGTCCAGAAGAAGAGCCTTCTTTTAAGTTGCACCTGCCTTTTGGAACATCTTATTCCCCTCTTCCCCCCCCCCTGCAGTGAAGTCATTTTCAACCCTCCTTAACTTCCGTTATGCAGTTAACTGGGGCTTCACATTGGGGATGCTTGATAGATTAACAATAGGTATCACCTTCTCTCCTTCTCATCATGCTCCCTCTGTCCCCATCGTTTTAACTAGGTTGATTTTTTTATAATATGTATTTATAATAATAATAATAGTGGTAGTAAAGTTGGAAGGGACCTTGGAGATAATCTACTCCAACCCCCTGCTATATTATTAGGTTTTATACAGTTTATACAATTTTATTAAATAAATAATTAAATATTTTCAGGTTGATTCCATAGAATGGAATAAAACACATAATAAAATCCAAAATCTGAGAACAACAACAAAAATACAAGAAATGCAATCAAAATAGATAAAAGCAAAATGGCTAACCTAATCTGGGATATAGGCTGGTTTTTTCTTTTTTTTTTTAGCATTCAGTGTTTTATTTTGAGGTGGTTTATGTAGGAGACTTTGGGCTGAGTAATTTCAAATATAATCATAAAAGTAAGAAAAATAAAAAGGTTAAACAATTTTAATCTGAAGATAATGTATGCTTTATCTATTTCATTACAATTGTTGTCCTCAACATTTTGTCTGGTCCTTTGTGCTTATCTTTGTACTTGTTTGATATTCTTTTTAGAGTGGGGTGTTTTTATTTTGATGTAATTCTACTTGTTTAGCATGAGTGTACACCAAGAAGAACTTACATTATTGGGCAGTGTAAAAGTATAAACAAACAAACAAACAAATAAGTAAATAAATAAATAAGACAGCTGCAGTAGTGGACAAAGTCTTCATGTTGTGTAGATCTTGGGTGGTGGCTGTTGTGCAAAGCTCATTCTCATACGTGGAGACCTAGTAGACCCTTTAACAGTCGTTTTGGGAAACATTCCTTCTGATCAGCCACATAGATTAATAGAAGATTAAAGCAAGATGAAGCACAATTGGTCTGAGATAGGGCATTAACCTACCCTAATCTCAGTATGAGGGCCACCTGAAGATATTTTTGCTCTTATTTCTTCAGATAATAAGTCCCTCAATTTAAAATGAAAGCTAAAATGATAATCCTTTTGTTAAAATGGTGCCCAATTTGTTTGCTGTCAAGGAAGGATAAAGGTTATTTATGATTCCATCACAAGACTGTTTTCGGTGCACTCCAGGATGTTCAGGCAAGCATTGCCATTTGTCTCAAACTGCCAGTGCTCCCTGACTAATACACTTTCAGCCTCAGGAGAATCACACAATATTTTTTTTTCTTAAAGCCCATGGGCAGCTTTGCTACTGCTAAAACTGCTAAAACTGTTTTAGTTTCAGAGAGACTAACACGTTTAACCATTTCAATGGGAATTGCTCCAATGTACACTGATGAAAAGCAATTTTCCCGAGTGTAGTGTTGCCCTTGTTGAGACAGGGTGGGTTTTCTGTGATTTTCTTGGTTTCTTTGATTCGGTGCCTAATGCAGGCTATGGATAAAGAAGCGACTCATCTCTAAACCCAGGGATTTAGAGTAGGATTTTTAGAAGGCCTCGTGAACAGCCCTGCACTCTCTAATCTGAGGAGCAGGTTGATACTTGTATGTTTCATGTAAACATTGTCAGCTACGGTGATTTTGCATTGTGGTTGGGTTCCAAACATGCCCGTGAACTAAAATGTTTATTGCAGAAGAGGAGATTGTAAAAAAATATATTTGGGAAAATAGAACTTGAACCATTGAGAGCATCAATCATTCACTAGAACCAGACTGTTGGGGCACTACCATGAAGAAAAACAGCCGTCTATCTTACTGTTTGAAGTAATCAGAGGAAAAAGGCCCCCAGTTCCAATAAGAGATGCCAATGGCTACTTAAGCCTCAATCCCAGTATTCCCAGTACCAGGGAAGGAGTTAAATGAGAGAACGAGAGAGTGGCAGCAATGTAATTATAAGCTAGTACTGTTTCTGGAGTAAAATAAATCCTAAGGGCCTACTGGCAACTATTTACTCTCCACATAACATAACTCATCAAGTCAAAGAAAATCAACTTGAAATACATTGTTGTAAGTGCAGGCAGATGATGAAGCTTGTCATAGTGAAAATCATACAGTTCCAGGTCTGTTTAAGAACTTTTATGCAGAGGGAGGCACACTTATAAGTTCTGAACATCTTGTTCACATGAGATTCTCCCATGACCAGCACCTGAAACAGTTTGATAAAAGTTCAAATCCTGCTCCTTATAGCAAGAACATTTAACAAGTAAAATGATCGTGTTAAAATGCCTGAATTTCTCAATATATAGTTAGAGAAAGTACAATAACATGAAGCTTTTGGGAAGTAAAACTAGAGGTCCAAATAAAAGTCTAAAGACCAGTAAAGCAGCAGCAGTTAGAAGAAATTGTGACTTACAAAATTTTTAAATTGTAGAGGCCAGAAAATGCTCCTTCTGGAATTTTAGAGAGTTGGTTTCCAGATAGGCGCCTGTAATAAACAGAACAAACAAGGTCAAGATAATACAGCCGAATGTTTAACAGTGTCTTTTGTTAGGCAATATAATGATAGCTTGGAGTGAAATGCCTTCCTATACTTTTCAGCAAGATAGAGTCATTACGAGGGGAACCAGAGGTCATTATAGAGGAAGGATTTTCTGTAAAATAAAAGCTGCTTTCCTTCCTTCCTTCCTTCCTTCCTTCCTTCCTTCCTTCCTTCCTTCCTTCCTTCCTTCCTTCCTTCCTTCCTTCCTTCCTTCCTTCTTTCCTTCCTTCCTTCCTTCCTTCCTTCCTTCCTTCCTTCCTCCCTCCCTCCCTCCCTCCCTCCTTCCTTCCTTCCTTCCTTCCTTCCTCATACAAGTGAGATAATACTTTTGAATTTATAGTTCAGATCTTATTGCAACAAATGGTGAATCTCTATGATAATATTCTTAAGTTTTGGAAAAGTTTCATTGTCACAAACCATTTTGTTTTCAAAACTACAGACAAGATATTCTTTTAAAATTTTTTTTATTGATTTTTAAGAATTACTATCTTTAGTGCTTAGTAAACAACATGTCTGGGTTCAGATATTTAAGATTAACTTCTTCAATATAAATCTGTTCAGTACTTTACAATCCAGTATTTTTCCCTGATCCTCCTTTCTTCCCCATATTTTTCCATTTTCCCCTCATTACACAGTTACAGTTTTTGGAACTGTTGATGTATACAAAGTTAGACATAAGCATCTTCATATTTTACTATCATACAAATAACAATAATATCAATTCATAAATCAATATCCTGTTTTTTGTGGTCTTATTAAGGTGTGATTTCCCATCAGTATTTGAAATAATCTTTGTCAGTTATAATTTTCGCAATATTAATTATATTTATATAGCTAAAAGTTTTATTCATACCAATCTCCTCTTATTTTCATATTTGCAGACAAGATATTCTTTTAGATGGTTTATTAAGGAAATCATCCATCTTTAGACTCAATGTTTAGGACCAACATTAGGGCAAGGTTGATCACTTTTAAGAAGTCCCTTAGAGATTATTTTTTTGGGTCAAGTGAGTCTTTTGCATTCCTCTTGCATTCATTGATATTTACACACTTTTTGGATTTCCCCCAAAGACAATTACAAATGTGTTACCCTGGTCACCCTATTCCTGCATACAAAAATATAAATCCGATTTGTTGTATAGATTTCTATTCTTCTCTAGAGTTTAGAGAAATTGTGTCTATAATAGTGTTGAGCATAAGATTTTCTTTTTAAAACAAAAAAGCAGACTATAACCCATGAATGTTTTGTAGAACATTATCAATTAGAATATGATGAATTTTTAAGAGGGCAACTCATTAAAATTGTTGCATTTTATTTAATTTCTCTATCCTGAAAGAGTCAATATTCTGATAAAACAAATTGGAAACACAGAAGCTGTGTCCAAATTGCTGCTTATTTCACTTCATTTTTGTGATTTATCTATATTTGTATTTATTCTTGTACATACATATATGTGTGCACCTTCTTCCCAAAATTGGGGATTAAATTTTTTTAATGATAATGTTGTATCTGTTTTACCAATTTGATTCACTGGACAAATAAGTTTAATGGATGAGAAATTTTTAAAAATTGGTTACAATGAATTTAAGTTTTAGGAATAAGAATAACTTTTTCAACAGGCATTGAAAATAAATGAGCTGTGTGGATACAACACATGGATACAATTGTAGAAATTCTACATTTTAAACAATTCAGTGAGCACTCCTATGGGGAAGAACTAGAATAATAGCTGAGAAGAAGTATTTGAAATCCCTCACCCTATGCTTGATGGGAAGCCGAGTAGCAGCGCAGGAAATTCTATCATTGTCTGGTATAGATATTGGAAGAATGGAAAATTTGCTATTTTGTAAAGGAAATTACCAATTAGGAAATGGAATGTGACACCTATAAATAGCATTCGTAGCAGCACATAAGTATATGCTTGCCTATATGTAGGAAGATATCTCAGGAGTCAAGCTATTCTCCAAAGCACCTGAAGGCAGGACAAGTAGCAATAGATGGAAATTAATCAAAGAGAGAAGCAACCTAGAACTAAGGAGAAATTTCCTGACAGTTAGAACATTTAATCAGTGGAACAACCTGCCTCCAGAAGTTATGAATGCTCCAAAACTGGAAGTTTTTAAGAAGAGACTGGATAGCCATTTGTCTGAAATGGTAGGGTTTCCTGCCTGATCAGGCGGTTGGACTAGAAGACCTACAAGGTCCCTTCCAACTATATTATTATTATTATTATTATTATTATTATTATTATTATTATTATTATTATTATTGTTGTTGTTGTTGTTGTTGTTGTTGTTGTTGATATTAGAAAACAAGATGGACAATTTTTCACAAAAATGCTTCTTATTTACAAAAGTAAGCAGAAATGATATTTAAATGTATATTATATACATAAAGAGAAAACAGGGAAATTCAGTTTTCAAGGAGGTCTCCTTTAATAGGAAGAGAACACCATTTGAATCATGAAGGAATAATTTCATATATAATGAATTATACAAAGAATGGTTGTTGCTGTTTTAGTCTCTAGGACGGTAATTCCCAATCTTAGCATCTTAGCAACTTAGCAACTTTAAGATGTGTGGACTTCAACTCCCAGAACTCCAGTTAACTTGAGATGTGTGCTTTATGTATATGCCTGAAACACAAGCCAACAAAATGGAGCAGATATGCCAATGAAGCTGTCAACACTGGTTTCCATTCCCTATCATGAATCACTGACTGTTTAGCCTTGTATATTTTGGCACAGCAGTATTCTTTGCTCCTGCTGACACCCCTGTTGCATTTCCAGTCCTTCTTGTCAATCAGCAAAATCTTCATCTGTCTAATTCTTAAGTCTCTTTGCTACTTACAATATTCTAACAAACTTCCTTTGGCCTGATGTTTCTAATTAGATGGGGGAAAAAAATCATACTGGATAAAATTATATTTCTTTTGATATAAGAAACAAATGGACTTTTACAGTTCAGGACTACTATCAGCTTTCAGGGTCTCAACTTTTCTTTATGTGTTTGCCTCATTAGGCCTGAAGTCCCATTGACCTCAGTGAGGCTTAGTCACAAATAGGCCTGCCCTGGATATTATGCCACCTTTTCTATAATCAGCTTTCTAAAGAATCTGTGTAAAGTATCTGTGACATACAGCATCACAAAATCTCCTAAGGACAATGGACACAATATGGGTTTTCCACAAGAGAATATTAAGAAGAAACTCTTAATTCTTCAATTACAGCCAGCTGGATGGTGAAGAATATACATAATATTAACCATCATTTGTTGAATTGGCCATAATGACAAATCATAATGGATAGCTTCGCACATCACTGTAAGTCAAAAACAAAGAACTTTATCGATTAATAGTTAAGTGTGAGTCCAAACAACATTAGAATAGTAACTGGATTGGTTTCTTCCTCCAAACTGGCACCCTGCAGTGCCACATTTGGCCACCACTATTCCCATCACTTGGTGCCACTCCATGTCAAGATGCATTTGTGTACTATACAACTTGCACATCTGCTTGCAGTAACCCTGTGCAAGCTCCTGGCCCGAAAGTAATGTTTTAAGTCATACCTGCTGGTACAGTCTTTATTTTCTTGCGCCTTTTAGACTGAGGAGGTTATTCTATCCTCAGCACATAATCATTCAAATAATTTATACATTTTCACTACAAGCTATAAATAGTAGCTTTCTTCAGTATCCTGATTTATAGATTAGAAAAGCAATTTTTACTGTATACACTATCTTCTCTTGTCTTACTCTAAGATAACTCTTATAGCTGAAGATCAGACTTACCATACACTAGATGGCAACAAAGAATTGGGGTTGTAAGTATTTCTTCGCTACCATCTGATGGTAGTCTTAGATTTTGCAAGCTCTGGAAGACCTAATGATCAGTGATCTCAACATATTGCTAGGACAAGATTGCAGACGTTCATTTTCATAACTGCATATACTAAATAGGATATACTATTTAGGGTAAATATTTAGTATACTAAATATTTACCCTAAATAGGAATTAATAGTGAATCCATTATGAATTATCATTAAACATGCCAGTTTTTAATGCATGTGTTTAACTAGTGATTAACTAAATATTGTGACCAGTTAGACGAATCAACTCAAGATTAGTCTCATCATAACTTCTTTTCATTCTTTTGAAAGAGTTAAAAATGGTTCAAATGGTGCTTTGTTATTTAATAAACAATGTTGTGATGATCTGCCTGAATTTACCACAACAAATTAATGCTATGATTAAGATCCTTAATTTCAAACACTGTCTTTTAACAAAATCAATTGTCACTTTTGCTACAAATAATGACATTTTGAAACTTTCGATAAGAAGTGACAAGAAATTACATCTACATGTATTTCTGTAAAACTGGAATTAATATTTCTGTCATTTTCATGGCTTATAATCTATGATTTATGAATTACAATACCTGCTTTAGCCAAAGAGCAAACTGCATTTAATGGTTTTTCACAAATTCAAATTATATATTACTCCATGTTCACATTGTCTAAATAAAAGCCAATATCATGTTTTTTGTTTTGTGTTACATTTGCATTTTCCCTATTTTGCAAGATCATATATGAGATATGCCAATCAGAATGTACACACAATATTCGCTAGATGGCTGGGGAATTCTGGGAGTTGGAGTCCACAAATCTTAAAACTGTTAAGGTTGGATGTCCCTACTGTAAATATGTGGAAAAGTTCTACTCTTATGCAGATAAGTAAAAAAAAAAAAAAAAAGGAGGGAAACTTTAAAGAAACCATGAAATAGCTTCAAGATGAGATTACACGAGCGGCATAACATTTGCTACAGAAACAAGCACTGAGTGTCAGGAAGGTTTTTACCACCTAAATAAAAATGCAATAATTTACTGAGTTGTTATTATCTCTCTCTCTCTCTCTCTCTCTCTCTCTCTCTCTCTCTCTCTCTCTCTCTCTCTCTGTGTGTGTGTGTGTGTGTGTGTGTGTGTGTGGTTTTTTTACTTCTGTGAACAATATGAGTGGTCTCCAGATTTTTCTGCCTCACATTCAAATATAACTTGTTCAGTTTTGGGTATTATTTAGAGAACCTTTTAAAAGATGTCAAGGCAATATATGTTTCATTATACTTACAGTTCTTCCAGAAAATGTAAGTGATGGAAATCTCCAGGCAGCAATTCACTGATGTTGTTCATGCTTAGATCACTGAGAAATATAAAATAAAAGAGAGAATTTGGAACAGTTGTAGTGTAAGCCACAACCTAGTTGGGCCAGCTTGGGATAGTGGTTAAGACATCTGGCTAAAAACTGAGACTGTAAGTTCTAGTTCTGCTTTGGGCATGGAGCCAGATTCTCTCTCTCTCCCTCTCTATCTCCCTCTCCCTCTCCCCCCCTCTCTCCTGTGAAGGAGGCAATGGCAAAACACTTCTAAAAAAACCTTGCCAAGAAAACTGCAGTAGTCACCAGGAATCAACACTGACCTGAAGACACACAAAAAAGGAAAAAGAAAAAACTTAAACTCTTTGATTTTATATAGGATTCTCATAGTATTAAAAAATTATCCCTAGTTTGGGCTCTACTTATTAATCTGAATACAAGCTGGCTTCACATACCATGTGAAGTCAAAAATTTGTAATCCAGAGCTTGTTGAATAAGAGAAATTCTACCAATTGGAATAAGCTACAGTAGCCTGGTACATACCTAAACTGAAGCCATGATTTCTAGAGCCATTGTACATTGTTATTTTTGGCTATTTCCATGCTTTCCAGGCTCTCAAAAGGAATTCTGTTTTGTCATTTTAAAAATGTTATTATAAAATTAACTTGAAGGTTTTGAGCAGTAAGATAGGATATGAATGCTGAAATTAAATAAAACTAAAATATCTATTATCTTCAAGAAATCCCCATTAATCATTTAACCTTGAAATAATTTCCTTACATTTTCTGTACATAGATACAACCCCTTCAGGAACTACACATTTTAATCTGAGCTTCTAAATAAATACTACATCAAATGCTTGTTTTGTTTCATAGAACATTTGACTGTTGTAAAACAGCCCATATTGTACCATTCACAAAAATCTTTGACTTAGTGTGAGGCAAAAAAGGAGGGAAACTTTAAAGATACCATGCAGTAGCTTCAATATGAGATTATATGAGAAGTATATTAAATAATGAAGCATAAAAATTGATCTCCAGTTCTGTGTATATCATGTATAAAAGTTATGAATAGTGGAAGAGGCCTCCCCAAAAAAAAAAAAACCCTAAGTCTTTATGGTTATTAAGGAGGGCAGCAAGTTCAGGGCTAGATGGACTTCTAGCAGGGCATGGGTGGCCACAGAGAAAGCACAAATTCCCAACTTGTATACACTGGAAAGTAAGACAAAGATCTTGGAAATCTGAATTGTATGATTCAGAGTTAGAGACCTCATAATCCACTTGTCCCTCAAGGGGCTCCTTAATTCAAGGGCTTTGAAGTCATCCGCCTCTCATAAACACACTGTTTTATCTCTGCTTTTAGTTATAATTACTTTTTTTCTTCTTTGCCAAAAGTACATTCTCTCACTGGTTTGTAAAGTCTTCTGACAGTTTTCAACTTCATATTAAGAAATATATTTTTCTTAGGTTACCAGGAGCTATGCTACAGTTACCTCTCAATGTTCATTTCCTGCATCAAAAGCTATGTGTTTTTTTGTAGATGCTTATAAACAAATATAATATTCTAAATAACACACTACAGTCATTTTCACTCATAGCACTTCAGCACACTCACATGCCTAATGTTATTAGTGTGACAATGAAAGGAAAACAGAGCAAGAATTCCAGTCAATATTAGTCGGTTTTTTTTTATTTCTGACTGATTTAAATTTCATACGTGATAATGCCTTCAGAACTGTTCTTAGGGGATAAATTTGAACCTGTTTTCTCCATCACAAGAGAGATCTAAAACAAGAGGCCTTGTAAGAACTAATGGTGCTTCTATCTAGACTTTCCTAAAACAAGAATGAGAATTCGGTGTTCGTCTGATAATGAATCAAAAGCAGGATACTGGTGGGAACTGATCAAAATTATGTTTGAGTAATGTATGGAAATCAACAGTTTCCCCACTCCCATTATAATTGAGGCAAAAATGAAAAAGTGATGCTCTATGATGCCTATGTATCAGAAGTGTCTCTTTTCTAACCTTTCTCTTGGAATACTGAGCACAGGTTTGAAGCATGGTGTGGTAAAATAAATAAATAATTGGTTAAAAATAAGAAACAAATCAGAAAGCTGATGACAGATTTGTCACACTATGTGTGATTTGGATGGTTACAAGCAACATAAGTCATTGCAAGCAAAAGCACTATAATATTATTTCAAAGCACATGAAATCTACAATTCTTTCTACCACTGCTTCTGCTGCTCCTAATGGCCCTGTGAGACAGAGCAATTTCCAGCTGAGAAGATTTATGGGATGTTTCCCACTTTCCTTCTTTGGTCTCCATTCAGACATCCTTCCTTATAATGGAAGGAATATATTCCTGTCCCAATCCAAGGGATAGACACCTCAACTCCCCTTGTTAATTAAGGTTGGGAAGAGGGACTCTCTTGCAGGATATGCAAAAATCACAAACAGACCTTACAAATTAGGCTGACAAAAAAATGATATAAAACTCTTTGCAATATAGCAGGCCAGTATTATCTCCATTTCCTGCAAAAGTGAATGAATGAATGAATGAATGAATGAATGAAGTATGTTGATTTGAAGAAAGGGCTTCTAGGTGCTTCCAAATGAAAAGTACCAAGGTGGCTTCTTCCCTTGATTTTTTTTTCACTACTGCAAATCCAACTTCAAAATCTATCATATGAATAAAAACATTTTACAAATTAAATAACACATTTCCAAAATATGGACCATCACAAATTTAGCATTTATGTTTGTAATATGTTTAAGGCAAAGAATCAATGAGCACAAAATTCTGTATGTGCATAAATTAGGGATTAAGAGATGATAAATTTCCGCTATGTCTATGAATGTTATGCCCTGAATCCTCCATCTAATCTATTTTCATAATCTATGATGTGCCATCTACAGCAGATTTAGCAGGATTATAATTTGCCTTCAGTAACAGTTTTTTAAATTTATTTTTAGAGTTCTAAATCATGGGTATCCAACTTCGGGAATTTTAAATGGACTTCAATCCCAGAATTCCCCAGCTAGCATGGTTGCTTGGGGAATTCTTGGATTTAAAGACTACAAATCTTAAAGTTGTCAGCCTCTGTTCTTAGCATTTGAATTATTGGACTAAAATCCTTGTTATATTCTAGTTATATTAACTGGTTCTGAAATGCAAAAAAATTGTTGTAGATTCTAGAATGAATGTTGTCCAAATTATTTCAAATTCCACAACCAGGTCTCTAGTAGTGGCAGGAGATTCACATCTTATAATTTACAAGATTATGCTAGTGTAACCTTACAATAAATTACTTATATAGTTTTTTCCTCTTTGGTTTGGAGCTTTGGTTAGCTGTCAGATGGTGACTCTCTGTTTAGATTACCTCAAAGGGCTGACAGCTAGGCAAACTGAAGATTATAGGACAGAATCATCAATCTGGAATACATTGCACCCCCTTCCCCCCATTAATTGGTCACTGCTCCTCTCTGAGTATTTGCCTGATGCCTGGATGTGTTCATTAGATGTTTCATCCTGTGATCTATTTGCATACTTATTGCATACACCTGACAATTCAGTTCTGCCAGCCCAAGATGAATTCAATATATCACAGTTGGGTCAGTTTGGGATTATTACAAACAACTACAGGTTGTTATGGTCATGCAGAACTCAGCAGATCTGGAATACCAGCTTTTCCATTAAGCTCCAATTGCAAAATAACTATGAAACACCAAGAAAAGTTAGAGGGTATTTTAATAATTGCAGAAAAAGCAGATTTTGGTTGGCTCTTGAAGAGAATAGGACAACTTTCTGCAACTATTTCTAAAAACCTTAGATATGAGGCTCCCAACATAGTTTCTGGAACTTCACAGATATGTACAGTACAGAAGCAAATTGTCCATTCCCCAGAGTTTGGGAAGGCTATACCTTTAATCCCTTGCCAACCCTTGAGGTAGATTGGCAAAGAGCAGTCTGGTGAAAAGAGCAATAACCACAGCATTTATTGGCAGAGCCCACAGTGATGGGGGAGGCTAGCTTTCAAACAGTTATAGCTCCCTTCATATTTTCATGTCTTCAATACATAACTAAAATAAGAGTAAGAAGGCTGCAGGAAAAGTTTGCAGATGTTTACAACTCTGCATGTTTAACAGGTGATAACAAGACTTCTCATGGTATATTGCAATGGCACCTGTGGATTAGTCAATATGGAAAATGAGTCAATGTGGAATGCATTCTCAGAAGGCACATAATTGAGAACTAGAGGTATAAGGCATAAAGCTTACACATTTTCTCCTGCAGTGGCAATTATGGACATTGCCTTTCAACGTTGATAATGATTGTAAAGGCTGCATGACAGGGTATCATGATGTATGACCTGGAGCAATATTTATTTTCTAAGGGGCATGAGTCAGTTACTCTCTTTGATGTTTCTGGCCCCAATTATATCGTCTTACTTACTCCAATCTTTGTGGATGCCAGGAGCCAAAAACAACTTGGTGGCATATAATCAATCAATCAAATATCACTCACCCCAACTACTTGCTACATTGCTTTCCTTCATGGAACTATAGGGAACTAAATCTTGGCCAGGAATGGGCAATTTCTTTCTTTCTTTCTTTCTTTCTTTCTTTCTTTCTTTCTTTCTTTTTTTAAAGTAGGGCAATGACATATCATCAGAAGTGGTGGAAATTGGGATTTTTAAACCCATTTCAAACTCTAAAGTTGTGGTTGTATAATGAATTTCTTTCTAAAATGAACTAGCTTTGGAGTATTAGGAGATAACTTGAAAATTTTTGGATGGTATTTGGATTTCATGTCCAACTTGTCAGCTAAGGTTTCCCAACATCATCTAGTAGGTTTTACAGATGAATAGATTCCAGATGGAGGAATCTATTTAACAATGGCAGAATTTATTAGTAAAAACTTTGCATTTTCACCTCTATACCACAAAAAAGAATTCTTATGCTGAAGTTTTGCAAGCTATGCACATAAAAAACTATACGAAATCCAGCAGAAAAATGTATGCAAAGTTGGCTGGTTAGTTAGTTAA